TTCTCATCTCCAAGACACTAATGAATCAACTCAGGGCGAGGAGGAAGGAACAGGTTTGGATGTGAGACAGCTAGCACGAAAAGGAATGTCACAAAGGACCAGGCTCCCAGACTGTTTCCTGGGCTCAGCCCGTGCCCTTGGCGGCCCTCCCAGAACAAAGGGCCCCTCAGGGGAGCTGTGCGGAAATCACTCGGGAAATAGGAAAATCTGTGGATGGCTGCAGCTTGAGCCTGAGCCCAGGCAGTTTGGAAGAAGGGGAAAAGTAAAGTGGGGAGCCTGGTGGGAATTGGGCTTCCAGTTGGCAAAGGTAGGCACGGCTGCCCTGGGGCTCTCTGACCACATCCAGCACCCAGCTCTGCCTTTCAATCCTGTGCTCATCTGTTCCTCCTCCACGGAGTTCAGCTAGCTGAGTCGGACTTGGTACTCATCTGTTAGAATCACTAGGGAGCTGATAGTTTCCCCCACAGACACTCATTTCTCACTCAGAAACACGACAGCAAGGTCTAATCACTTCTGGAAATAATGAAATCTGTTCTTCCCTGAAGGAGCAGAGAGATGAAAGGAAGTCCTACCCTAAGGAATGTGTGTGCATGGGCAGGCGGACGGCTGTCCAGCCTGGGAGCACCGAGGCAGACGCAGATGGTCCGTCCCTTCCCTTCACCCCTGCTCACACTCCCACAAACGTCCCTCTCCAATGAGGCTGTTCTCACTGAAACTCCCTCAGACTCAGCCCCTGCCTGCCCAGCTATCATCTTTAGGGAGAAGCACACACTGAAACCAGCTTGTCTTTCCTGTTCAGACAGGAAACATCTTTGCCGAACTATTTCAAGGAATATGTAACTGCATGCACCTTCACTTCCTCTCTTGTCCTCTCAAGAGTGTACATTCTTTCTCCTCCCCACCTTCCCTAAAGAAAACTCACATGGTGTGACTGTTTCTCTCTTTCTCCATCACTCCCTCCTGTTCCCTACCCCGATCGCCCAACAAGACAGTCTGCACAAAAAATACTCCCCGGAAGGACACACGGCGGCCTCTCAGGTGTGTGAGCAAAGCGAGAGGAGTGGTGTAGTCGCCTTCACCCCCAGGAGTCTGACAGCAACTTGCACACTCACCCTGACGTGCCCCGGAAGCAAGAGGTTAAGTTGGGACACTGCTGTGCTTGAGTTACCCAGAACTGAAAAATAAGTTTTCCTGACCTGCCCAAGGTCATTCATAGAGTGTCGTAGATGGATCGCCCGTGCTCTGTCCCCCCTGCCGCCCCACCACACACAGACAGGCATTGTCCCCTACCCAACAGGCGCGGATATGATGGTTTCCAAAGCACTGATCAGGCAAGACTGCAGCTGCTGGAAGAGAGGCTGTGAACTGAATAAAATCAGGAGGTGAACTTGAGGGGGAAACATCCCATATTTGCATAATGTTCTGAGGCCTGAAATTCATCTCCCTTCCCATGGTTACTCCGCTTCCCCAACCCCAGAGAGAAGTTGCCCCAATGGTGTCATCACCTTCACCCTAGTTTGGCGTAAGGGGCATCAGGGTGGTGGGGAGGGGAAAAAACACCAAGAGGGAACGTGACCTCTCCAGGGTCATGTGCCAATGCTAGCATCCAAAGATGCCTGCTGTCAGCATTTGAGGACACCGCCCTCTGTATCATCTCAGGCGATGATGAATAAACTCTATGAGGCGGAAGTGTCAGGGCAGCAGGCAGTTTTCCCTGAGTACAGGTAACGACGGTTCAGGGAAGAAAGTAACTTAAAGAAAGATGTGTAGGAATCAACGAGCAAGCGGCTGTGGTCAGAGCAGAAGGTTTAATGAGAGGCCAAGGCCACAGGGGAAGGGGAAAAGGAGACAAGCCTCCAAGTCTTGAGGCAGAGGTGTAACGATGATAACAACCAGCACATCTGCTTCAGGACAGCACCTGCCCATAGGCAATTCCTTCTCTTCTTTCTACACTGAGCCAAGAGAGAAAATTCTTTGCTGACAAGATGCAAAAGACACAGTGTCTTGCCTTTATTTTGCTCACCATCCCACTTGTCTTCTGCATTTGAGAGCCAAGACTGACCACAGGCTGTTTCTCACACAGGAGGATACTTACTGCACTATCTGAGACATGAGCTGCGGGTGGAAGACAGGGTGGAGGTACCTCAGGGTGACCGAGGTCTCCTTTTGGAATCACTCCAATTCCAGCACCCGAGTTTGAGGTACCCACCCTTTGTGGATTTGACTCAATAAAACCTGCCAGGGAGTATCATTTCTCTCAACACCCACAGTATCAAGAAGGAAAAAAAAAAAATCAGCTCTTTTAATATGCCTAGAAATTTCTATCTGCCTTTCTCTCTCTTCAGCAAGGCAGGGGTGATTAATGTACACAGGAGCGAGGAAGGAGGTTTTCAGGTGGTAAGGATAACAAGCAGGACGCAGAGAAGAGCTCAAGGTGAATGGGTCAGTGTGGGGGCCTGCAGGGCTGACCGACAAACAGTAGTCTGGGGGGTGGTCATGGTGACTAGGGCAGTGCTCACACCATGCACCAGAAATGGAGGCATCTCCTGGGGCAGCGTTTGTTCCCTGAGAGGACTCTCGCACCACGTCCAGACATCCATCAACATGAGGGGGCTGGAAGCCGAGCTAACTCTGCATCCCCTGGGTGTGTCATTCCTAGAGTTCTAAGGGGAGGCTGGGTTTCTGTCGTCCCCTTGGCTTTGACCTCCCCAAGGGCTCACTGTGGGGGCAAGATGGTGCCTCGGGGCAGGATTCAGAGTGGAACCAGGGACTGCCATAGTTTGAGCTCTTGGCGTAAGTTTTGGTAGGAGGTAGCCCCCACTCCCTCTCGAATGTAAGCAATGAAAGATGCCGCACCAGATTTAACACAGGCAAGAACTGTTAAGTCAAAGTTCTAACTACAGGGTTTCAAAGAACAAGTCCTCCAGTCTCAGCAGGAAAGATACACATCCCACTTCTCAGGATGCAATGAGGAGACACCATCTGTGCTTGGTCAACATGGAATGGAGAAATCTTTATCTCTACTTCCGGCAGGAGGCATCCTTTCTATAAAACCCCAATTCCTAGTGTACAAGAACGTCTCAGTTGACACTAAGCCACCCGGTACCGCTTTCAGTAAGGTTCCAACATTGGTCAGTTTCCTATATTGAAGATGACACTCCGATTTGACTCAAAAAACTAAATGCCATTAAGAACCTACACCAAAGTGCCCACATGCCAGGAAAGGAAAGCAGAACCCTGGATCCTCATCCAGGATTACAGAATTTGTAACATTCTTACACTTGGAACTGCACGCACTCTACCAATTTCTTACTCTGCCTTGTAAATCCCCCTACCACCAAAGCATGCATTCCCGGTTCTGAAGAAATGGAGGAGGGGGCACAAGAAGACCCTGATTTATTGCATGCAAAAGGAGCGACGGTGGAAATAACTTAAGAGGGCCAGGGGAGGTGTGGCGAGGCCAAGAGTGAAGAGGACAGGGGAAGCAAGTTGAGAGGGTGAGGCCGCGAGGACACCAGGGCGCGCGGCACGCGGCGCTCTCACCTGTGGATGTTCATCTCCCGCGGAGGGCGGTGGGCCTTGTCGTAGGAGACCTTGGCGAAGACGCCGGCCACGATGACGAACGCGATCACCCCGCAGGTGATGTAGACGGTGAAGTTGGTCTTGTCCTTCTCCGGGTCGTACTTGTTCTCGGGCCCCGGCGACACCACCTTGGTGCTGGGCGTCTGTACCCACACCGGGCTCTGGTAGTTGGTGCACTGGCGCTGGTCCAGCTTCTCGTGGCGCTTCTTGCAGCAGAAGCGGTAGTAGCAGGTGCCGCAGCAGTACAGGTAGCCGCTCTCGCTGTTGTTACACTCGAACTCCTTGTCGTACTGGCCGCTCACGTCGTAGTAGCCCCAGCACGTCTCGTAGGTGACGGTCGCGCTGGCCGCTGCCGCCGCCGCCACAGCCGCCGCGGGTTGCCCCCGCCGGCTTCCCGCCTCCGAGACTCCGGGCGCCCGGGCGGTACCGTTCAGCTCGCGGCCGCCCCGTGCCAGGGCGCCCCCGGCCCTCCGGCCCCCGACGGCAGCGCCGCCTGCGCTCAGGGTCCGGTTGGCGGCGCGGCCGCGGGCTCCGTGGGCGCTGGGCAGCAGGTCCAGGGACTCCAGCGAAAGCAGCAGCAGCAGCAGGAGGCGCCGCAGCGCCATGGTGGGGCCGGGCGGGAGGGCGCGGGGAGGCTTCCGCGGCAGGCCGCTCCCCCGGCGGGCCGGGCTCGGAGGACCCGCCGCGCGGGCCGGGCTGGAGGCGCGGAGCGGTCAGCGGCGCCGGGGCGATGGCGCCATCGAGGCGCGGGCGGCAGTGGCGGCGGCGGCGCGCGGTGCGCACGGACCGGCCCGGCGCGGGCTGCTCGGGCTCTCAGGCTGCGCGCCGGCTCCGCGCTCCCCCTGCGGGCTCGGCGCGCCTCCCGGGTAGCCCCATCCCCCGCCGGCGGTGACGGCGGCCCCAAGCTCGGCTCGACTCAGGCAGGACCCGAAGCGCGGCTCCGGGCGGCGGCGGCGGCGTGGTCCCGTCCGGGCGGGTCCTGCGGGACAAGACGGGGAGCTGGTCACGGGGTGGGGCGACTGGCGCTCCGGGAGCAGGAGGGGAACCGCGGGTAGGCGGGCAGGGAGGGTGCGCGCAGCCCTCGAGGAGAGAGGCTTGGGGCCGAGAGGGGCTTAGAGCCCGCTCCCAAGACGGGGTCCCGCGGCCCTGCGCGCCTGGAACCGAGGGCGCACGGGCCGCCCCTCCAGGCTCAGCTCGGCCGCCCGGGTTCCCCAGCCACCCGGCCCCGCAGCGCGCTCCCGCCGCAGGCTGGCTCCCTGGGACGGAGTCGGCTGAGGTTGGGGTCCGGCGGCGAGCCGGGGGAGCGCGCGGCGGCTGGACCTCACTCACTCACCATGCCCGGCTGCGACTGCAGAGGCGGCGGCGGCGGCGGCGCCGGGGCGAGGCGGGAGCGCAGCGGCCGGAGCGAGCGAGCGAGCGGAAAGCCGCCGGCTCGCCGCCTGCACTAGTGCCGGAACGTGTGCGAGAGGGAGCGAGGGAGACACACGCACTCACACACCCGCACACACGGGAGCGCCGCGAGGGGAGGGGGGAGAGGGGAGGGGAGGGCAGCCGCTCTCCGCCGCCCACGTTTGCACGCCTGGGCGCTCAGGGTGCGGGGCGAAGGGACTCCTTTTTGCTTCTCCGCGATCTCAGCAGTTGAAGCTCCGCGTCACGAAAGGTCCGGACAGCAGTTAATGAACACAGCGAACCGGGTGGGCCAAGTGGGGTCGGAGCAGGGCTGAACGTCCGCTCTGCAGCCGGCCCGCGGCAGGGACAGACCTCTCTTGCCATTGCCCCCTCCAGCCCTCGAGACCAGTCCCCACCCTACCGGAGCCTGGGGCAGCGCGCTGCCAGAGCGGGAGTTGGGGTTTCTGCAAGCCTTTGCCTCTCCCTAGTGGTGATACTCGCAGCCAGGAGAAGAGGTCAAACCCATTGCTACAGGTTCCCAAACTGAGTCCATGGGTCAAGTGGCTTGTCTGAGGCTGTTGCTCGACCCATGAGCTGAGCCTACACTCTCTTCCTGTTGGTCACTCTTTCCCCAACCCCATCCCCACTGCGCAGAAAGGCGCTGGACAGCCCCAGCACTGGATGGCAACTCTTTGCTAGACTTTTTTTTTCCCCCCTGCGGAGCCTGGAGGGCATTAGAAAGCTGTCTGAACCTCTGAGACTCAGCTTTACTGTAACCCCTGTGTTGAAATCTCTGTGCTGCAGCTACTATGGAAGGTGAGGAGGATGGAGGTGCCAGGCGGGGGTGCTTTCGGGGTAGTTGCGTGTCTGGGTCTGTGGAAAGGAGGCCTGAGTAACTTTCACAGCTATGAGGCCACCCCAAAAGAGAATCATAGTACCATCCGTGGTATGTGTCCTTGGAGGAGGTAGGGGGAACTGGGAACAAAAAGCGATGGCCAAGACCGAGACTCTGCCTGCGTGACCAGCGTGCTTTGGTTGAAGGCAGGGAACTGAAGGCAGGGAACAGGCTGTCAGAGCGAGGGCGGTAGAGAATCTTCCCTGAGACTTTCTGTTCAGTCCCACTCACGTGTGACCCAAACAAGGGATCCCTATGCAGGAACAGAAGAGTTCCTCTTTTGGGAAACGTGGAATGGATATATCGGAGCTGGAACTCAGACTCCAAGACACGAGAGGGAGATCCTGATACTAACTAGGGGCTGGGGAGGGGGGGCGCGCGGTGCACAGACTATCCCCACAGCTCCCCACTCGCTCCTGTCTCCATTCCCTCCCTCTTCCTCTGCACTTCCTCCCGTTCCCTTAACTTCTCAGCTGCCACCTTCTTCTTAAAGATTCTGTACAACCAACATTTGTTTAGTGCCTACTCTCTGCCAGCAGAATGAATAAGAGAGTCCCTTTCCTCAAAGAGGGGGACCTTGTAGACCATTAGGGAGACAGATAAACAAATGATTTCCACATGGCAAGGTTATGTCTCATAATAAAGGCGGGCAGAGTGCTCTGAGAGCAGAAGACAGGCACCCAGCCTAGCCCTGCAAGGGGATAGATGGGGGTCAAAGGTAGCTTTCACAATGAGATAGAGCAGAATCTTGAAGAATGGATTATGAGTTCATACAGCAAACAAGAGGGGAAGGAGGCCCCCAGCAGAGGGAACATCCTTAGCAGAACCAGAAAGACAGGAAGTGGTAAGGGTGTGTGAGCAGGGGTGCAAGCAGTTTAGCATGAACCCTGAAGGAGTCTACCAAATAAGGCTAGGAGGAGGGCGTTGAATCCCTCCCTTGCAAAGAACTTGAATTTATTCTACAATTGCTGGGGAATTATTGGTGGGTTTTAATCAGGAGAAGACACTGTCAGTTTTACATGTTTGCTGAATCTCTGAGTCAAATGGAGTAGGGAACACTGGACTGGACGCAGGAAAAGCAATTTGGAAGCTGTCCTGATAATACAGGTAAAAAATGAGGAAGGGATGCAGTAGATTACTGGAAGTTGATGCCCACAGTAGAGATAAGCATGGCTGAAAAAGCAGGTTCAGGATAGAGTTAGCAATATTCCTGTTGTGGTTCCTTTGAGAGATCTAAGTGGAGCTGTCCAGCACAAGAATTGCAAGCTCAGAAGAGAAGATAAGACAGGCATATACATTTGGGAATCATAAGAACATATTTGAAGACAACAGGCTTATATATTTACCTTTGTACTCTGTGCAACTTCTAAGCTATTCCCTTCTTTTTCTCTTCCATGAGCCTTCTCCTTCCCTTTATTATTCAAGACTTCGCTTTTCCATGTCTGAGAGCCCTTTAATGGTGGATAGGAGAAATGTGTCCTCCTCACATCAGACTCTAGTAAGATTTGATCAGTGGCATTGAGTAAGAGAAACTGATTTGGTTTCTCAGACCACCACCACCTATAAATGTATCCTGAACCCCAGTGCTCATAAGTGGTGGCATCAACACTCATAGAAATAATAGCATCTCAGGGCTGTGTAAGATCTTAGGGGTTATATATCCCAACCCTTGCTGCAGTGCACTATATTCCTTATTCACATTTCCAGCCCTCCTGGTTTGCCCTTTGTAGTAGAAAAGGTTGCTTGGCTGCCACCATACATTTCTCTTTTCTCCTAGTTTCAGTGCCTGAATTGTTGACAATATCAAAGTGCTCTTTCTTTGTGGATTTGACTCAATAAAAAGTACCAGAGAAGAATCATCTCTTCCAATGCCTCCACCAACTTCAGACAGTCCTGAGGTTCAGGGGAGAGTGAACCAGTCCCTGGCTCTAGAAGGCAAATCCCAATTGGGTGGAGCTAGACATAATAAATCTCTTTCCCCTTGACAGCGATTAAGAAGGGACATGTGATCCGGTTCTAGCCAATACTAAGTGAGAGAAGTTTGCTGGAGGTTTCTGGGGAAATTTCCTTGCTCTTAAAAATTGTGATAATTCCTGTTCTTTATTTTATTTTATTTTATTTTATTTTATTTTTGGTGTTGTTTCTCTGGATGTTATTACCTTGGGGTTGGGGCACCAGCTGAGAGTTGAAGTTGATATTCTTTTTTTTTTTTTTTGAGAAAAGATCTTAACTCTGTCGCTCAGGCTGGAATGCAGTGGCGTGATCTCAGCTCACTACAACCTCCACCTCCCAGGTTCAAGTGATTCTCTTGACTCAGCCTCCCTAGTAGCTGGGATTTTTTGTATTTTTAGTAGAGATGGGGTTTCACCATATTGGCTAGGCTGGTCTTGAACTCCTGATCTCAGGTGATCTACCCGCCTTGGCCTCCCAAAGTGCAGGATTACAGGCTTGAGCCACTGCATCCGGCCTCAATTTTATAGTTATTAACACTGCTCACCAAATATCTCTGCCTCCCAGGCATATAGTAGAATTGCAATTCCTAGCCCACTTGTGAGTAGGAGGGGAAAGTGACTAGTATCAGTCAATGAGTTGTGAGCAGAAATGATGTGTGTTATTTTTGAAACAGCATCTAATTGCTGCTGCAAGACACTCCAGAATTTTCATTTTCTTCTGGCATGGTGATCAGCAATGTTCTATATGGGAGTGGTTTTGTCAGTGTGAGTACTTAGGTGACTACAGTGAGGAGTACCTGATAGCTAATAAAAATAGTGTCCCACCATGGGCATGTAGCATGAGTAAATATAGATCAATAGATCGATAGATCAATCGATCGATAGATAGATAGAGCATAGAGATATAAATATTAAAAATATGCAAATATTTCTATCTATAAATATCTATATCTCTATTAATATCTCTCTCTCTCTCTCTGTATCTGCTTTTGAAAGCAACTGGATTTGAGGCCTATTATTGCAGCATATCCTAGCCCACGCATCCCTATACAACACTGAGGTTGTCAGCTGAAAAGATGGACAGAACATCATTGGGCTACTCAAAGAGCTATGCTCAAGGCCTTCCCATCTCTGGTCTTCCAGTAAGGTGAGATAATTAAGTTTCCTTTTATGGAAACCTGTCTAAATACAAAGTTTCTCTTACATGTAGCCAATGGCATCCTAATGAATACATCATGCATTGTCTGTCTCAGTTCTGAATTTCTCTAGGGCTTCTACCTACCTATGCAATTTTGTACTAATCATTTAACTTCCATGGGGTTCAGCTTACTCCTCTATAAATGGGCAGCTAAGTGAAGGGAGTGCCTCTAAGAAGCTACCTCTATTGCCACTTCAGAGTATATCTTTACCATGAACCTCAAGTATGAACTTGGGCCATGGCCTAGCATGACCTGCTCACCTGCTGTCCTTCTAAGCTCATCTGCCACTCTCCCCATACTCTGTCCCCTCAGCTATGCTGGTGTCCTGTGTTCCTCAAGGCCTTGGTATTTGCTGTGCTCTCTGCCTGGAGATCTTATCCCCCAATGTATGTAGAGTTCTTTCTCTCACTTTCTGTAGATTTCTGCTTAAGAATCACTGATGAAAATAGCACAGCCGTCATACCACTACCCACCATTTCCTCTTCCATCATGTTCTACCTTCACCTTATCAGGATGAACTTTCCAGCATGGCATTTATCACTAACTCATACACATTCATTCAGGCATTTAAAAGTTCTATTCTGTTCTTCTACTAGAATGCCTGGTCTTGCTTGAATTTTATTGTCTGTTGTGTTGATTGCTGTGTTCTGCATGCCTGGAACAGTGCTTGGCACACAGTAGGCTGTGGTGGACCTGGAAGGACTCATCTCCAACTGTCCGCTCCTCTAGGGTCTGTCTCAGCTGCAGAAAGTTGCCTCCCCTGGAACCATAGTCTTCCTTCCCCAGGGGGCCCACATCTAATGACTAATCAAATTCAAGGTATCAAGGCCCAGCCATTTCAGCCTAATACAATAATAAGATGGACACTATTTTCTCTGAAGTTCTAGAGCACCCTGGGGTCAAGGCTTTGCTGGACCTGTATTGGATCTGTCCAATCTTGCTTCCTTCCCCATTTCCATTGGCGATGACCCTTAAAGAATAGTCTGCATGCTACACGTTGTCTCAGTATCTGCTGGGAGAGATCTGAGCCTGCACCACAGGCATTCAGTATGTATGTGTTGAATGAATAAGTGAATGAATAAATGAATGAATGAATGAGTCCATGAGCCCCAAGTTCCCACCATGGCATCTCTATACATGACTATATGGCTTTTGGTTTATCATATCTAGTCACAAGTTAGAAACTATCTCCTAAGGCCACCAATTCCAATATTAAATAATTCTAATAGAGAGAAAATTAGAGTACACTAGCTTTTGTTAATGTTGCTGATAGGCAAATCAATTTAGTGGCTCATACTGAGCTTATAGTTGACTAGAGTGTTTTTCACATTAGGATGACTTTTCGCATCCATGTGAAACGCTTCATACATATTTTAGTTTATTTTACAAATTCAAGCCCATTAGTCTAGCCTTTTAAGCATTTTGGGAGCGTGTCATCTAAGATGCTATTTCTATCAATGTGGTAGACATGTATTCTACCCTGCTTCCCAACATTCTTTCCCGTTTCTTCCAGCCACAGTCCCTTATCGTTGGTCAGAGATGTACCATCCATTCTCATTCCATGGGGTCTTCATGGGGTTTCATATGACCCAGATTTGAGCCAAACAACCATCTTAATTCTTTAGTCTGGACATTCAGAGTAAACCAGTGGCAGAAGCCCATACAGTCAGATAAGCCCCAAGACTTGTGTGGACAGGACTGAGAAAGATGGTAACTCTCTCCCATAGGAAGAGGCAAGAATGGCACCGTGCCAACTGCCTTAACCTATGAAGGGTGGGTCCAGTGTTATTGGTAACCCCACAAAAAGCCCAAGAAAGGAGCCAGCATGGCACTGGGCTAAGCCAGGAGGAGAGAAACCCAGTCCTGTTTGTACCATGGGAACCTTGAATCTAGCTTCATCTGAAGTCTGCCTATATCTCTTCTTCTCTATGATGTGAGCCAATACATCCATACTTTAATTAAGCTCCTATTCACCAGGGTTTCCATCTGTAGCCAAAAGAGTCCTAACTGAAACAATCAACCTCACAGTTAATAAAATGACAAGTGTTTAAGCTGGAAGAAGTAGTTACACCCTCCTCTGCATGACCCCACGTGTTCTTTGCTCGTGTTCATAGCAGGTGAGGGCTGGGAGCTGAAGATGGAAGGAGCAGCACAGGTCAACATGTGAGAGATATGACAAGTGGCCATTCCTAACTGATGTCATCAAGGTGCCTCTAAACATAGGATTTAGGCCAAGCACCTCTAGTTCTCCAAAAGCAGTTGGGAGAAGATGCAGATACAGGTGAGTCCATTCTTGGCATGAAAACCCACATCAGGATGTGACAAGGTCAGGGGAGAAATGACCAGCTGTTAAGATTATTCCAAAGGTACAATCAAGCATACCAGACACAGGGTCCAAAGAGCATATCAGTCTTAATCATAGTTTTGAAAATTATCAGAAACATAGTATCCTTTCCAATGGGAAGAATACTATAGACAGAAAAGATTTGGAAATCTAGGCAATTATCAATAGAACCAGCACAGTGCATGGCTTAGAGACAGATGTGCTCTGGGCAGTTGTACTCTGCCGCCAAGCGTGGTCAGAGCAAGCCCCCAGTTGTGGTGGAGACATGGAGTGTTGGCAGTGCTCTGAGAGGGAGCTGAGACCTGGGACCTAGACAGAAGCCTTGTCCAAAAGATTGAGTCAATGTTATGGAGAGGAATGGAGAGCTTCAACTTGGACGTTGGTTCCCTTGTGTGATTGACAGCAAAGGAGACTTGAAGAGTAACATGGGGCCAGAAGCCATAGTCAATTATATACCAAAGATTGAGAGGAAGACACCTCAAGCCACTGCCAGACTTTCTATCTCAGACAGATCCTGTAGATGTACTCAGTTGTATGGCATGGGGAAAACAGCTTTAGGAAGGGTAGGGGCACAGGTGAGGTGAGGGGAACAAACAGCATTCGTGTGGTAGATTAATCATGGTCTCCTTCCAACAAGAGGTGAAGGCTGTTTTTCTTCTTTTTGAGTCTAGGCTGGGCCTTGTGACTTGCTTGACTAACAGAATGCAGCAGAAGTGATGATGTGCCAGCTACAGATCTACCCCTTTTAGGGGTGGGCCTCTGCCCCTAGAGGCCTGGTGACTTCTGCTTTCGCATTCCTGGGTTCTAGCTACCCCATAAGAAGCTTAGGTTACCTAGAATGATGAAGGTTGGCAGGTCTTATGAAAAGAGATCTTGGAACAGGAGACATCATCTTGAGCATCTTGCTCCCAACCAAACTCCCAAGTAAAAGCAGCATGAGATTTAGGCCTGTGTGAGCAGAAGAACCATTCAGCTAAGCCCCAGCCAAATCACAGAATCATAAGAAATAATAGATCCTTGTCATTCTAGATGTTTTAAGCCATCAATGTGTTATAATGATTTGTTACAATACAATAGATAGCTAAAACAAACCACATATCATAGCATAGAGTCTAGACAGAAATGTACCATATTGTATTGATAGCAACTTCTGACCACAAAGATGTCTGAGGCTATTTTTGGTTAACTATATCAACCAAGAACTATAATATAGTTTTGGTTAACTATACTAGCTTCCTAGCATTACCCAAACCAAGTACCACAAACTGGAAGTCTTAAACAACCGAACTTATTGTCTTACAGTTCTGGATACTGGTAGTCCAAAATTAGGGTGCTGGCACAGTTGGTTCCTTCTGAAGGCTGTGAGGGAGAATCTGTTCCAGGCATCTCTTCTTGGCTTCTAGATGGCTGGCTTCAAGTCCAAATGGCATTCTCCCTGTGTGTCTGTCTCCAAATTCCCTTCTTTTTATAAGAACATAGTCTTTTTGGATTAGGGCCACCCTAATGGCTTCATTTTACCTTGATTACCTCAATGAATACCCTATCTTTAAATAAAATCACATTCTGGGGTGCTAGGGGTTAGGATTTCAACATATTAATTTTTTGTAGAGGGACACAATTCAACCTGTAATGCCTGCTAAGTGGAGTGGTTATGTGATCTGTATAAAATATTATGCAAACTTACATGCCAATCAAGAAGAAAGGAGAAGGGGTCATATTTGTCACTGTCTCCCACTGAGGAGAAGTTAGAGAATTCCAACTTAGGTTATCCTGGAAATGATCATTCTATTCCATGACCTTTTCAAGACTCAAGACACATTGCTCTTGTGAGCTGAGAGAGATTCCAAATAGGAAACCTAGGAAAGGGAATGTCTTTCCCTGGCATTCTCTACCTAGTGATGGAGTTACAGGAAGTTTGCATCATGCATAATTAGAACTCTGGAATTGTGGCATTTCAGAATTGGATAGGTGCACAAAAATTCACATCCTCTGGACTCTTTTTCTATATCTAGTCAGTCATACACGTGAAGGCAAGGATGACCTCAAATTATCTCTACAACTAGCCTGGCCTAGAATTAACTCATCTCTTCATCAATCTATTCATTCCTTGTTATTTACTTTGTCAGTCAGTTATTCAAGCCCCCACTATGTACTAGTCATTATGTAGATGCTAAAATGCAAACATAAACAAATTATGCTTTCTGATTTGCAATATAGAATACTATTTGGGCCTCATGGAACTGTCTCTGCCACACCCCAGAGATTAGGAGTAAAAAGCATCTCTCATCAGAGAGAAATGTTTTTTCCCTCCTTGCTGAATGTCCAGCTGCTCTCTGGGATATGGATTCTTTCCATTAGGTCATGAACTACACTACCAGGAGGACACCTTTGCAGATTCAATCCACTTTGGGAGACATTCTGGAAACTCAGTTGTAGGATCTAGTATGTGGGCCACATGTTAACTCAATGTCTTAGCAACTTGTTGAAAAATATCACTCCTTAAGGGACTGTTTTCCTATTGCGATCACATAGGACTATCAAATGTGGTTTTCTTCACATCTGATGCAGCAGCATTAATAGCAATGATAGTTGAGTATGCGTGCACTTTTATACTTTTAATTTCAGAATTTATAATTCTACTGCTTAGAATTGATCTGGTTATCAACTGACAGTCCTAAGAGTAAGACTGTATTACACCACCAAATGATTAAAAGTTTTGTGGGGTTTCCTTTTCCCTTCCTGACACATATAAAGCAGTTCTGCATCCCCAAACATGTGTTGAGTCACAAAACAACTAATTTTAGTTGTGTGTTTCCTGGACAAGCTTGGACTGAATCATTTTCAACTGACACATTTAGCTGGGTCTATGGAATGTGATTTCTCTGCATAATATTGCAGTCATTCCTTGTGACTAGAACAATGTTACATACTACAACTCCCCCATCCTGTGCCCATGCCAGACATCACTAATCAATTATGGAACCCTTTCCCGCTGAGAACAGTCAGAGCCCTAGAAAGCCCCTCAACACCCAAAGCTCCAAATAACCAGCAGGCCTTAACTATGGTTGAAATTAGCACAAGGAACGAATTCTATTTGCCTAACAGCCCTGTGAGAGGTGACAGAACAGTTCAAGCATAGTTCTATTACTTTACATAGACATGGTTTTAGAATTCTGTTCCAATTATGCAGGTTTATTGCCCCAAACTGAAACATTTGTGAAATGAAGGTGAGACTACAAGGGGCACGAATATCACTGGTTATTACATGCTTTTTACTGAAAGACATCACTACTTTACAGTTGGAATAAATGCACACTGGGATTAGCTCTTCCTGAGAAGGGTGCTAATGAAGAGTGTGCCAAATGAATGCCAAAGATAATCATGTAGCCACTCCCAGATATTCACGTGCAGACTATATGCACGTGAAAATAATACATTTTCTCTTTGATTGGAATTCACTGAAATTTTATTCAAAACCACCATGAATTAACCTATAAAAATACATTCCCTATTAAAATAGGAGGCCTTTTGTGAGTGCATTACACATAGATGTGACATTTTCTTGGCTTACGGTTTATAGCAACCAGTGTTCTATGTTAGTATAGGCTGTTTTTCATACCTCTATTTCCTATCTTTTGATGATGGCTCTTGTGTCTATTATCATTCAGATCACCTTGAATTCTCTTTCTGACTTTTACGAAGTTAAGCCCACCATAGACAGTAGAATAGGTTGCATATGATTTTTTTAAATAGGTTTTGGGTTTTTTTGTCCTTTAAAGGAAAAATAAAATGAGTTGACTAATTAGATCTATCCCACTTATCTAATCCAATTGACTGAGCACAAATTGGTCATTAATACAGTCAAATGCATCAACAGAAATTCTTGATTCTGTGTCAGGTAGACACGATCTAGATGGACCATCTGTTGGTTGAGTGCCAAGCTAAATGCCAAACACTGAAACAGAAAAATGTCATCATTAAAATAGACAAGGTAACTCTGCTGAGAAAGGCCAATTTTCTTATTGTTACGCACCATCAAATTTCAAAATTCGATCTTGGCATTACTGCAGTGGACAGACATCCAACCTGATATCCTGTACCCAGATCAAGACATTACATAACCACATGGGCAGACACAGCCAGTACCGAGGTGAGGCGTGTGAGAGACAGGTGCCAATTAAAGGAGGGAGTGTTGGCCCAAAGATGCTTGAAAATGGAATTTCTAGAGAACTTGAGAACCTTCGTTACCTTTGCTTGAAGGCCTAGTTTTCCAATTTATTTTGCAAATCCTACCTCAGCACGTGATGGTGCCTTCTCATTCTACGCTGCTGTCCATTACACCCCAGCCCCCTGACTCAAGTCCACCTCCTAGAAGTTCAGTCTTCAGGACAGAAATGGAATTCCCTCCAAACCCTCTATTCAGGAAGAATCCCCTACTAACAAATGCACACCAGGGGCTAAAGGGCAAGGTCATGGTGGCATTAGTGTGGTGGAGGCAGCTATGGGGTTATGGATAGTCACAGGTCGAAGAGAGAAACTGGGACTGGGATAATCCTGAGCTTACATTAGAGTTGTACTCAGGTCATTTAGAGTGGACACAAACTCAGTGAGCTCACACGTGGAGAATGAAGCAGAGAACTCACCTGGAGCCAGGTAGTCAGCCCAGACAGGTTACACAGGAGAAGGAGGTCAAGACAGGGCAGGGAATTAAACCCAGCAGACTGCAAGGCCTCAGGGCAGGAAAGGTGATGCCTCAATATCCATCCAGCAGTTGGGAATAAGGATGCTCATGAGAACTGACAGGCAGGGCAAGGCATTGTCTCTGGGTCCAGTCACAGTGACAGGAACCCTGGCCAAGAAATGGCTCACAAGCTCTCAGCTGGTCTTTATTGTAAAGCATGGGTTCTCCCCAGATTGCAGATACAAATAGCTACAGA